TCTGGACCGAACTAGAGATTTCATCAAGGTTGCTTTCCCATGTGGGTTCCAGCGCCCCATTATGTGAGGAAAAATAATAGATCCATTGCCCCCTAACAAGAGTGTCATAAAAGTCGATTAATTATTGGTGTCTTCTTCAGAGTCAAAGTGCATCTGCCTGAAAGGCACAGAACAAATTTTCTGCACACAGACAAGCGAGATCTGTAAAACAGGTGTGCATGCGAACTCAAGTTTTGGAACAAGACTGAAGTCCAGTAGTGGATAAACAACCCAAACTTTCTTTCAGAGTTTACAGTCAGTGAATATGAAGAAGAATAAACGATCAAGGCTACTAGACTCCTAATATACGTTTCTTGACAGATGGATCAGTTAAACAAAACTGGACAAGTCTACATTGGGCTTGGCATGAGCTTGTTGAGGGTTTCTGTCCATTGATAGATGGAAGGCAGAAGAAGAATGACAAATGATTCATGACAATTCCCGCCCAAGTGATGTGATTGTATATACAGATGGGGGCAGAGGGGCAGACGAAGTGCATGGGGGTTCATAGCGAAGGCGAATGGACGTCATATGATATCACAATGTCTAGTTTGAGAATGGAGTTAGAGGCAGTCACTGCTGCCTTCTGCTGGCTTGAGAATCAGCTTTACACACATGTCATCATTGTAACTGACTCACAGAGCATGCTGAGAAAGGTGAAGACTGGCATGCTTTGTGCAGAGTGGCATGCATTACTTCAGAGGTCCCGGGTAGTTAGCATCCTTTGGATATTTTCTCCAGGTCATGCCAGTATGTTGGGAAATGAGCAGACAGATAGACTGGCAGGTTCTGCACCACTTGGCGTTGAACTGATGTATGACAGGCTGGATGTTGTGAGGGCCCTTTGGAAGCAAGTGAACAGTGCGAGGAACATATAGATCATTACGGTCTGAGGAGAATGGCACTGCGAGGAATTACAAGGGGATCTAGCCGACGCTCGACGCTCAGGGGAAAGGCAAGACAATCAGACAGTTACTGGTACCATCAGAATTTTAACTCTTTGCTTGCTGCTGAAGATGGGGACGGAGTGCTGTGATGTCAGTTCTAAATTCAAATTTTAAGGCAGAAGAAGAATAAACAGGATAGCTGTGGTAGCATAGTGGACAGAGTGCACCTGCTTTATATGTAAGTGGTCCAGGTTTGGTCCTTAGAAGTTGCAGAAGTGGTTTACAAAAACAAGAAAACAAAACAAAAAGCGGTCGAACCTCTGTGTCCTGTTGCTAACTAGCTTGTGGTTTTGGGTTTTGGCAGCTTTGTTGACTCATGCTTTGTGTCTTTTATGTGTAAGTCTTTCAAAATAGATTTATTAAATGGTAAATGTCCTCTTCTTCTTCTTCTTCTTCTTCTTCTTCTTCTTCTTCTTCTTCTTCTTTTTCTTCTTCTTCTTCTTCTTCTTCTTCTTCTTCTTCTTCTTCTACTGTAGCTGCTGCTGCTGTTGTTGTTTGTTGCCTTTAAAAACAAATCTCTTAGTGGATCATGGGCTGTAAAGCTAATGCATGCCGAACTCTCAAATTTGTGCATGTCTCCTGAATTTCCTCCATTTTTTAAAAATCCGTCTCTGTTTTTAATTATCTTTCCTGTTTGCTATAAATATCATTTTTAGATGCATTAATTTTGTTTTCTGGATTCCAAAGGAAGTACAAATAATATACTATACAATAGACATACAGTTTTTTTCAGTGTATGTCTAGATGAGCAGCAGTTTCATTTTCTTTTCTCTGGAAGCACTGGAATTTGTTGTTAGTTTTCTGCATAAGCTCCACATTGTCGATTCTCTCATACCATTTAATCATTTCAGCTGTGTTTGTAGTTTATTGATTATTATTTTAGTTATTCTTCATATTTCTGAATCAAACAGGAGATTGGCATTAGAATTAATAAATCTAAATATTGCACTAAATATGATTTCTTTTGATGACCAAGGTTATTTTCTATCAGTACTTGTTATAGAAATAGTAAGTGTGAAACAGTTGTTATTTTCTTTGTCTTTTCTGGAAAACACACACACACACACACACACACACACACACACACACACACACACACACACACAAAGAAACAATAACAAAAAAAAAAAAAAAACAAGAAGTGAATCAGTAATATGTAATCTGGAAAATTATAAAGCATAACCACCTTTCCTTGTCATCTTTGAGATGGCATGAGCTCTTGTCATGTTCTTACTTAGCCCTCACCCTGAAGACATGGTTGGTTAACTGGCATTTCTGACTCAGTTTTCCTTGGAGTTACGTGGTATGGCTTTGTTTGATTGTTTCTTACAACATGCTGTAGCCTTGTCTGGTTGTATTAATACAGCATGCTCCAATCTTATCTTGTTATTTTATACAACCTGCTGCAGACTTTTCTAGTTCATTCTTATCTGGTTGTTTCATACAACATGCTTCAGTCTTATCTGGTTGTTTCATACAACATGCTTCAGTCTTATCTGGTTGTTTTATACAACCTGCTGCAGACTTTTCTAGTTCATTCTTATCTGGTTGTTTCATACAACATGCTTCAGTCTTATCTGGTTGTTTCATACAACCTGCTTCAGTCTTATCTGGTTGTTTCATACAACCTGCTTCAGTCTTATCTGGTTGTTTTATACAACCTGCTGCAGACTTTTCTAGTTCATTCTTATCTGGTTGTTTTATACAACATGCTTCAGTCTTATTTGGTTGTTTTATACAACATGCTTCAGTCTTATCTGGTTGTTTCATACAACATGCTTCAGTCTTATCTGGTTGTTTTATACAACCTGCTGCAGACTTTTCTAGTTCATTCTTATCTGGTTGTTTTATACAACATGCTTCAGTCTTATCTGGTTGTTTCATACAACATGCTTCAGTCTTATCTGGTTGTTTTATACAACCTGCTGCAGACTTTTCTAGTTCATTCTTATCTGGTTGTTTTATACAACATGCTTCAGTCTTATCTGGTTGTTTTATACAACCTGCTGCAGACTTTTCTAGTTTATTCTTATCTGGTTGTTTTATACAACATGTTTCAGTCTTATCTGCTTGTTTTATACAACTTGTTTGATATTTGTAATGCAGCTATTCTTTGTCTATTTATTCTTCTTCTTCTTTCGTTCACTTGAAATATATTGCCTATACCTGCAATGTTGTCTCTAGTATGAACTTCACTGGCTTTTGTAATTCACTCAGCGACCTGTAAAGTTTGACTTGCACTGACGTTTCTCTTGGCCAAAAGTTTGCCTTGATATGTAGTATTTGGGACAGTCTTGTAGGACATGATCTGTTATCTAAGGTGCCAGTCCACATGTGCACATGGGTGATTCACCAATTTGAAATTGTGTGTACATGTGGCTGCGAAGTCGATTGTGTCCTGTTCTAAGGCATAGAATAATAACTTGTTCTGGTCTGTCCATAAAATGGTAATTGTCTTGTACTGGTTTCGGTGGCTTTCTGATTGATTTGATTATTTTTTTCTTCTGTTGAAAAGAGACTGGTACGTCAGGTTGTTCTTCATTTGCACCTTCCTTAGCTAGTTTATCAGCTCTTTTATTTCCAGGAACTCCACAGTGGGATGGTATCCATTGCATAGTTACCTTACACCCCCTGCCTAGTTTAGAGAATAGTGTTTGTATACCAGGTAGTTTTCCAGATTGGAGTGCGTGAAGCACCGCTCTTGAATCTGTCAGAAATACCATTTATGTCTATTTATGTACCTCTCAGCACCTCTTTGCACCTCTCAGTAGACGCATCTAACTTCTTCAGGTTTTTGTTGTCTGAGTTAGCCTTCCCAGGTTCTTTAATTCCATTCAGACATCACTGCAACACTAACTAAATACTCAGTTGAATACTCATGTTTATCCTAATAAAGCAACTGGACCTAATCTTTGTTTGTTTTGAGTGTTACATTTGTTCCTGCTAGTTTTACTACCACAGTTTTTGTACATAGCAATTGTTGTGTTATTGTTTCTTCTTTATAACCAAGAACTGATGCATGTTATTAATGTTTCCACTGCTTACTTGTGGTTGTTTAAAAAGTAAAGGACCCTTTTCCAGGCCTTTATGTGTATTGAGAATAATGTGTTAAACCTGTGTTTTATAGACCAGTGGCACTCGGTGGGTGATGTGGTCTACATTAGTTAATTTATTCCTGCTGAAGTGCTGAGGCAACAGTTAAGGAAAGTTAGTAGTTTGTGATTTTTGTTTTTTGGTTGTTGTGGCTTTCTATAGCAGTTTTTATTTGAAGTCAAGGTTTGGCATTAGGTTTGTTTGATGTCCCCACAGATGTCCTAGACCTTCTAAAGTTCCTCTTGCACTGTATATATTTTTTTTATATTTCTGTGCTGTTGCCCCGCCTGTAAAAGTTAGTTCACAAATTATATAAAAGAGACTTTAAACACAGACAGGCACAAATCTGTTGCCATAGGAGCAGTGGTGGCATTGTTATGGCATGTCTGCCTGCTAGCCTGGTGGTCATGTATTCAAAACTGTCTTCTTGTAGAGATTTAAAAGTAATTAATTAGAACTCCCAGGTCAACCCAGCCTGATGAAATGTATACCAGGAACTGTTCTGTGAGGCAGTGACCGAATCACTTATTGGGTGCCAGTTGATCTTTACAAATATGAGTCTGCCACCATATACATACATATGCCTGCAAGTGTGAAAGAAGAATTTTCACTTTTGCTATTCACTGCATTGTCACTGTATAGAATAGATAGATCATATAGATGTAACAGATAAATTGTAAGGTAGTTTATGTGAATGGTAAAATACATTGTGTAGAAAATGAATGGAATGATCAAGATATATATATATATGTAAATATTCCACTTTGAGAGGGATTTGAATACATAACCACCATGCCAGCCAGCGAATGTACTGGCTACTGGACATGACAGTTCTCAGTGTTTGCAGTAGTAACAAATGACCAGCTGTTTAAATATAGTTAAGACTAGCTGTGAACAATCATTTCATTGATCTGTACACAGCGATACCTCTCCATTGTTGAACAAGACCAGCAGTGAACACATGTTTGACACCATGGCCATGGAGATTTCACAGTTGCTGTCCAAGGTAAATTATGATCTCATCTTCTGCTGCTTGTGACAATAGATTCAGAACTTATGGAACATGGCTGGCAAACGAAGATAGTTTAACTGAAACAAAGTATAAATAGGACACTGGCAGTGAAAATCTGATAACAGTATAATTATGCCGTACTTGTAGTGGAACCCTCAGGGTAAAGGAATACAAGCAGATCAAAACACACAAGGAGAAAGGAGAAAATAAAGGTGCAAAAAGGTTGGGGAGGGATGTCATGAGTTGAGCTTCTCGCAACGGCAAAGCACAAGACAGCTTGGTGTGAGTAGGTTAAAGTGTATGTGCTCTGCTGGAGGCTAAAGGGCTAAAAAAAATAGTTATTGCCACATAACAGTATAACCCATGAAGAGTCGTAGAACTTAGTGTACTTAACTTACCAAGACTGGGGTCCAGGTGTGGCTCTGGTTTCAACACAGCCTCATAAAAGGGGACAGGCTTTTCAAGGAAATGTCTGAGACTACCTGTACTGATTAAAAAGTAGCTGGATGCTTTCTTTTTCATTTTGACAAAAAAACCGGTAGGGGGAATTACATATAATTTTTAAACAAGGTATTTTCATTTCATGATGTCCTGTGAATTTCTACAAGAGCACTAACAATACCATTGCTTGGTTTTGTATCAGATTATAAAATATTAAACCAGAAATTAGTACCCTAATTATAACTTCTTTGGAGGTTAAATAGGGCATCTGGGATCGACCCTGTTGGTCTGCTGTTCAAATTAGGATATTTTTATCTCCTGGAGGGGACAAAATGATCAGTCAATCAAATTGTTGTCTTTAAAGTCAAGTTTGGGTGTATGTTTGTATGCCCAAAGGTCAGTCTTATCAACTGTTTTGTGCCTGGAAATATGACATCCTCTTATGAAATCAAAGAAAGTGGGTTCATATTTCAAATCCAGATGCCAAAAAAAGTTATTTAAACAATCTGAAAATTAAAACAGGGACTTGATTCTCGGGTAGTGGATCAGATACCTAGAATTCTCGGGTGAGGGAAAGAAATAACATAAGGCTGTCCCTTAGAAATCAGAAATATTATTGAAGGGGCAGAATAGACCACTGTCAAGTATTTGAAAAAATTAATAGGGACGTTCTACCTACAATGAAATATTTTTTGTAAGATGGGCTTGACGATGTTGGGCTTTAGCTTTTAGAGGTATGATAGTTTAAACTGTATTGATTCTTCCATATTCATAGATACCCTTTTGACATGACTATTTTATGGGTTCATTTGATTTGTGGTTAGGTAGTTCTTGTGAAGCTTGTCACTGTACATTCTTCTTTTTGTCTAGGTCCTTTCTGCTTTATCATTGTGAAGTTAAGTTAGCTTTATCTAACAGTGTTGCTATGAACATATAAATCACCAGCAATCAAAATAACTGAAATTAAAATAATAAAATCTTTGAATTTGCAGCTAACAGAGGTTAACGACAGAATGGTGGATTATACACAAAACATTTCCTCTTCATCTCCAAGTGCTGCACTGCTTCACACTTTACAAAGACACAGAGACATCCTGCAGGACTATTCACACGAGTTCCAGAAGACAACAGCCAACATCACAGCCATGAGAGAAAGAGAAGACTTATTGGGATCAGTGCATAGGGATATCAAGTATGGTTAGAGGACTCTTCATAGAACTGTCATTGGTCGTGCTAACATTTATGTTTGATATAACTCTAACCAGTTGATCATCAGATGGTTATTGAATTAAATAAAAACCGTTCTAGTGTTTTTAACTGGATTGTAGTGGTTATTCTTGCAAGAACTTATTATCACAGTAGGTAGCTATAAGCAGATGGAAAGGATACAGAACGAGGCTAGGAGCATTGTACTTGGGTGTACAAGAGATCCAGCATGCAGAGCTATTCTCTACTTTCTCGATTTTCCAACCATGGAAGACAGAATACAAATTTCCTGAGCTCGTGCCTACCTCACAGTCAAGGCGGGCATTAGGTAGTCAAATCAAGAAGATAAAAGGCAGCAAGTTAAAAAGAGGCAAATCATGGATGGGTCAAGCCGAGGACATTATTTTACAGGTATGTTCACTTGAGGACATAGAACCCGGCGAGGAATGGATGCAAGTGCCTTCAGAGTGCTGTACATCTTTTTCTGTTTGCATCCAGCTAGACAGAAAATGCAGACAACAGAGTCCAGCTACTTTAGAAGCAGAAGTTCAAGCCTTGATTTTCGAGAACGCTCTAGAGGGTGATGCTGTCATATACACAGATGGTTCTGTAATCTGCCACGTTAGAAGCTCGTGGGCTTTCACGGCTCAGTTTGGAGGGAGAGTTGTGAAGGAAGTTTCTAGCGCTTTTGCCGTAACTACAAGTAGTCTGACTATGGAGGTCATGGCTGTGACTAAAGCAGTAACATGGCTAGAGACACAGACTTTCACTAGGGCATGCTTTCTCAGTGACTCGATGAGTATGCTCAGGAGGATAAAGAACGGCTGAGTCTGAAGGCAGTGGTTGGTGGCTCTACAGAATTCACGGCTGACAAGGATTAGTTTTATTTTCGTGCTAGGAGATGTTGGGGTACAAGGAAATGAGCAAGCTGATACGCTTGCAGGTAGGGCTACTGTGAAAGCCGGACAAGCCATGGACCAGGCTAATATACTGAATGCTCTAAGAGAGTTAAGACGTTTGCGTGAACCAACTGAGAACTGTGAATCTGCAACCATGGTCAGGCTGCAAGAACATTTTAGACGAGGTGTCACCAAACAAGAACACTACACTGGTAGTCAAAGAAGAAGAATAAACCAACACAGGACTGGTGTCGTTAGCCGCTAAACGCTGCGGGATTTACTGAGAAGGGGATCCGAGCATTTATGGACTGAGTGGTTCGATGTGCAATGAGGATAATCTGTCGACTAACTAACTAACTAACTAACTAACTAACTAACTAACTAACTAACTAACTAGCTAACTAACTAACTAACTAACTAACTAACTAGCTAGCTAACTAACTAACTAACTAACTAGCTAACTAACTAACTAACTAACTAACTAACTAACTGACTGACTGACTGACTGACTGACTGACTAACTAGCTAGCTGACTGACTGACTGACTGACTGACTGACTGACTGACTGACTGACTGACTGACTGACTGACTGACTGACTGACTGACTGACTAACTAACTATTCACCCTGCCAGTAAGCATAGGCGGTCATGATGTGTGTGCAGGTGTTTGTGAATGTATGTGTCTGTAAGTGAGTGAGTGGATGTGTGTTTTGGGTGTGTGTGCGTGCATGAGTCGAGTATGTGCATGCATTTTACCACCCATGCTTTTTTTCCTTGATATTAATAATATGCATATTATTATATGAACATAAAATGCTTTATTGACAAAACTGCTGTGTGAAAGATGGGTATTTGGAAGGGCCGAATGTAAGACAGGTCTGCGTGCCCAATTTGCGACCCTTTAAAAATAAAGTTTGTTCATGTTATCTTCATTTAAATATCCAGATCTGTAATGTCTGTGTTCACAGTGCATACAAGAACTCCTCTGGGCTAAACAGGCGATCTGATTTATACCTGAAAGAACATGAACACATCAGGAAGTAGGTTACAGCCATGTCCTGTTTTAGTGTTTGCGCTATCAACACTTTGTCTAGGTCTGCAAATAACTACCATTGTGAGGGGGGTGTGTCTGGAAAGATTTTGTTGATAGATACCTAGGATTCCCTAATTATTACGTTTTTCTTAAAGGTATGACTTTTACTGTGTTCCCACATGAATAATAAAATGTGACTGAAAACATAAGGAAGTCAAGGTGTCCACATGTTGAGGAATCTTAGTTATATGGTGCTAGCCTTATATTGTTTTCACACTGTTTAGGCCTGACTGGGCTGAGGAGTTCATGTCAGAGAAAATACAAACATGTCCTTATCCAGTATGTGCTTCTTGATAAGCTCAGGTGATGGAATTGTTTAGCTTTTTGCAGGTTTCAGCTACACCAGTTGTCAGTCTCTCTCTTAGTCTTTCCTTCGCCTTCCTCCCAGATATTATACTGTATTAATCTCATATGCAGTTTAGTCTGGCTGCATTCTCACTAAGTGGCCAAACAATTTCATTCTTTTCAGTATAATTTAGACATCTCTTATTCCAGCATTCTCTCTAACGCTGGTGTTCATGACACTGTCCTTTCTGGTGTTGTTACTGATCTTACAGAGACTGCACATTTCACAGGTAGTTATTTTCTATTTTAAGATCCTAATCTAGTGTCAGATTTCAGTGAATATTTTGTGTGGGTACTGCAGTAATACAGGTGTAACCTCTGAAACCTTTCTGACTTATCTGTTTTTGTTTTTAGTTATTTGTCCGTGTACAATTGCTTTTTAATGTGCAGTCTTCTTTTTCTTGTTCACCGGCTGTGAATTCTGGCAAAAAAGTCCCAGTTGTTTGTCCATTTGGGCTTTTACCTGGACCTGAGTTTTGCGTGTACATCCGTTTTACTGGCTTATTTGTTTGCAGTTCTCATTCCCTGCCTCACCGGCAGATGTACTCCGACTTCAAGGGAAATATGCAATAATTCTAAAGTGTAAATAACATTCTACAGTGATAATTATGACCTAATAGTTTAATATGAAACAGTATCATAATATAGTGTGAACTGTATATATATCAATGAACTATTTATGTTTGTCATTTAAGGTTAGATTAGTAACCCTTACTTGACTTGTATGATAAACCACTTGTTCTCAAAGATGTTATTTTTGTTGAACAAGATGATGTCTTCAGCAATTGAGAATCTGGTCAGTCATGTAAGCAAGGACATGTATCAATCCTGTTTTGTTTATAAGAGTAACCCACCCGGGAATTGCCTGAAAATGTGTCAGCTGAAGGGCACACATTTTGCAACTTTGCTGTAAACAGACGTAATGCAGTAACGTTCATAACAAATAGCATAACAAAGTACTTGAGAATGAAGAAGAAGAATTACATTTTGTGTCTCTTTGACAGTAAATAAAGTAGACTGAACGGTGATCAGCTGAGCAAATGCACATGAAAATTTCAGCTCTACAAAATCTGTATCACATGTGACAGAATGGGCATAGTGACAAACTGCTTTCACTAACAAACAAAACCAGACAAGTGAATCTATAAATATGTTTGGAAAACCAGATCTGAAGTAACTCATCTGGCATGAGGTCAGTTCAAGTCCAGGTCCTGAAAGACAATTCAGTTCAGAGGAAAACTAAAAAAGGACCGTTTTCACGGCTTTTGCACATCGAGCATATATATTTATCAGGCTAGATTTTTTTTTTAATCAGTTGGCACAAGATGGTTGATGTCAGCATAATGCTCGGCACATTTACATCCCAGGACATTACCTGGCACCTATTTTAGGCTAGGTCAACCTAAAGGCAAAGGTCAGTTAAAAAAAAAAAAATTGCCTTGAATCAAAAATGAACCAAGCCCTTCATCTAGCTGCTACGTTAAGTGGCTTCCCTGATGAAGGGTTTTCTTTAAAGAACCTGCACAGAAAGATCTTCTTCAGCATTCTGAGCCCTTGAGGTTCATTTCTGCTGATATCACCCACCTGCACTCATCTCTCTGGTTGGCCTTCTTCAGCATTTCGAGCCCTTGAGGTTCATTTCTGCCAATATCACCCGCCTGCATTCATCTCTCTGGTTGGCCTTCTCTTTCCAGTTGGCAACACCAAGTGTTTGCAGGTCTTTCTGGACAGGTCATCCAGGTTGGGGGTTGAAACGTGGGGCCAACACCCCCACCTTAGTAAAAAATCATCTCTTGTCAGGAAACAGATATCTAAGCCTCTATTTAGGATGTATTTAAACGGACAACGAAGCTTGAACACAGGAAGATAAGGTCCAAAAAAAACCTTAAAAATCCAAGTGTGAGGAGATACAATAAGAGGCCTGGGAGATGAGATACAATAAGAGGCCTGATAGAAGAGATACAAAAAGAGAAGAGATTCAATAAGAGACCTGCGAAATGGGATACAGTAAGAGGCCTGAGAGAGGAGATACAATATAAGACCTGTGGGAAGAGATACAATAAGAGACCTCAGGGGTGGGATTGATTTAAGCAAAAGTGACAAAAAGCTGAATAGAAACAGCTGAAGTCCAAAGGTGTGATGATGAAAACACTATTATTGTTGTATGTTAGGTTATACTTTTGCTTATAAAGTCAGCATATTTGGAAACTTTGTGTCTTAATGAGTAATACATTCACTTTTCTCTCACCAGCTCAGAAAGATTAGTGGATGAACAAATCAGGTGAGGAAGTTGTTCCATTAACACATTGTTTCTCATTGAAACTCAATTTTCTTGTTCACCTTCATCATTATTGTGAGGTTAAGGACACATAAACAAGGGGCTTGTCATAAATCATGACCCTGACTTTAAAGGAATAACAGAACAAGTTTAAATTGGCTACATTCAAAGCTTCTCATATAAAAATATTCAGTTATAGCTACTCAAATGTTGCTGATCTGTGAAGATTTGGGAGACTGTCCTCAGAGTACAGTGATGGAAATGCAGAAAAAAAAAAAAATTATTGACTAGGACTAAAAAAAAAATAAAAAATATGGTAAAACAGTTAGTAGAATTTAACACAATATACTGAGCTTATGACTGACACAAGAATGAAAACTTGGCACAACTCTTACAGGGAATAGCCAGAAGATACCCTTTTCATTGACCTTCATTTCTGTAAGCGGATAGACTTGTTTTGTCAATAGTGACTTTTTAAAATAAGGCTTAATTTGCTGGCCAGATTTTTATGTAAACAGATTCTAACACACTGAATATGTACTTCTGTTTCAGCATTGCCATTGCTACAAAAGAGAATCTTCAGTTTCAAGGGAAGTTTTTAACTTCCATCACCCAGAAGGTGAACAACTTTGCCAGTATCCTTAACTCTTTCACTGCTATGGATGTGTTTTGTTGTTAGCCCATAGATTGCTACGAATGACTTCACTCAGCTTCTCGTTTATGTTCACTTAGTGCTGTGGATGAGAAAACACGTTTCGACTTTCCTCACAGACTACTCAGGACAGATTTTCTCAAGGGTAAAATAGCCATATTTAGCCACATTTGGATTCAGATGACTCATTTACCTACGATTAAAAACTCTACCACATATGTTTAGGCTAGTAAGACAGCGTATCACCTTTTCCTGGTGTTTTGTTTACCTTGGACGCATGGACGGTGAAGGGTTATTTTTGTAGTTTAATTTTTTTTGCGTCTTACTCTTTATTTTGGTTTATATAAAATGGCAAGAAAACTAGTTTAGGTGATTGAAGAATTGATAGAGTTTCTTGCAAGGAGTGATAGTGAAGATGACTTTGAAATGTGCGAGTTATGAGTTGGGTTATCTTCATGGCACTCCGGACATTGTTCTTCTGACAGTGAGAAGATGATCCAACTTAGCCATCAACATCCACTGGATTTGACATGGATACCTCATCAGTGATTAGCAAGAGGTTAAACATATTGTTTATGGCCACGTACGGACATGACGATTGAAGTTAATTATCCATAACTATATGACAGATAACACTTTGTCTGTCACCCTGTACATCAGTTTTTGACTTCTCATGACATCCCCAAAGAATATAGATTGTCCTTTTAACCATTTCTGTTTCTGAGTTAATTTCTTTCAGGATATCTTCACTTTCATATGTCTGTAGTGTTCTCATAATTCTGCTATAAATGCACGGCACTGCACTTTCATATGTCTGTAGTGTTCTCATAATTCTGCTATAAATGCACGGCACTTTCATATGTCTGTAGTGTTCTCATAATTCTGCTATAAATGCACGGCACTGCACTTTCATATGTCTGTAGTGTTCACATAATTCTGCTATAAATCCACGGCTCTGTAACTTCCACATAAAGGACCCTTTTCCACGCCTTCAGGTTTATTGGGCAGATAGAGCTAGACCTATATTTTATAGACCAATCAGCATTCATTGGGTGATGTGGTCAACATCACGCCGGCCGCTTTACTTCCTGGGACTTCACCTGGTACCCACTCAAGGCTGGGTCGACCTGGTACCCACTTAAGGCTGGGAGCAAAGTTTATTTGGAAAAAAAAAAAAGTCTGGTTCCCCATTCAGACTTGAACCCACTACATTCAGATCCGTAGATGAGCATCTAGGCGCTACACCACATAATTTCTCACTAACCTGCTGACTATCCCTGATTAACTTCCTGAGTGTTTTAGTCACTTATTTGTTTTATACTTGGTGTATATTGCACACAGTTTTGTTCATATGTGAATTATTTTTTGTGGCCATTTGAGTTTGTTCAAGAGATAAGAAGCCTTAACCCTGACTTGCAGATCGATTTCCTGTGATCAACAGCCTTGTACAGCGGATAAACATCCGCAAACGACGAGACTCCATCATCTTGGGACTTGTTATTGCTGTTTGTATTATACTTCTATTACTGTATGCCTTCCACTGACAGTTGTTCTCGTTGCTGTTGTTTGTAACCAAATCCAACCCGCCAATGTTCGTCAGCGATGGCGTTATACCCGTGGCACATCTGGGCTCCAGCATTCATATTGAGACCATATTGTACAGTTTACTTCTGATTAACAATTGTATTCCATTCTCGTTGGTGTTGGATGTCAACTATTCCATGTAAAGATGCGCCATGTGTAGATGTCTGTCAGAAAATGAATTGAAACAGGAGATTTTATGCCCAGTGTCCTGTTTCATAGACAGACGAGTCACACCATGTGACACATATATAAATTTTGAAGACTTCAGCAGATGTGAATTTTAATGTATGCAGCATGTTCAGAAAGTAAATTATATGCCTATAAAAAGTGCTGACATTTTTCATATTGTTTGAGAAATGAGAGCCGCAGTAGTTCAGTGGCCAGACCCTTCCCATGGGCTTACAAGGCTCGGGTATAAGTCTGCACTGAGGTGAATTTGTTATAACGTTCATGGACTCCCTGGTTGACCCAGTCTCAAATAGGTCCCAACAAATGTTGTGGGAAGTAAAGGCGCTCAGTGTCATGCTGACCACATCACCCATCAAATATTGATTGGTCTACAAAATCTGGGTCTAGCACCATTGGCCTGGTGCACCAAGAGTCAAATGTGATTGGTGCTTGGGAGAAGGGGGGTAACTGTTGGCAACAAATAACTGGCAATGTTTGTTCAATGGTATCATCACACAGTGCTGAACATAAGCATTATTAGTTTCTGGCAAGTAGGTTTTCTTTTGTTTGATTCAGCAGCAGACTATAGAGCAGATTGAACAGACTATAGAGCAGATTGAACAGACTATAGAGCAGATTGAACAGACTATAGAGCAGATTGAACAGACTATATACAGATCTGGTTTATGTTTCTTATAGAAGAAAACAAAACAGACATGTTGATTCATGATGTTATAGATATCATGAATATAATGTAAACAAGACATTTAGGTTCTTAGGTCCTGTGGTGTAAAGAATGCACATGCAAGAGAATGAGTGGTCTGGTGACAAGTGTTCAGCTCCATGTTGGCAGTGGGCTGGCTGCTGTGGTTGTAGGTGATATGATGGGCAGTAGAATAGGAGTTTATGGCTTTATTGCTGTTAAAACTGGTTGTGGTCCTGAGTGGGGCAACAGTGGTATGTTATAAAATCCTTATATGGTCAGGTAATAATATTTATATGTGTAAATGTATATATATGTAGAGAAAAAAGAGATTATGAGAGAGACTTTGGATATCATTTGAGCACACATGATGTGGAGAGCCATGTAAAACTTGGTTTATCAAGTTTATTACTTTGACCCAGAAAAACATAAGTTACAAGGGTAACTCAGTAAGTAAGCCACATGGTTGTTTAAAAAAAAAAAAAAAAATAAAGATGATAACAACTTGAAAATCATTTATTTTTACACACACTGTCCCTTTAAATTTCAACAGAATTTCCACAAATATTAATGCACTTGTCCTATCGTTTTATCAGTCCTCCCAAACCTGCTGCATAGAATGTGTGCTCTGTTTTCAAAACAACATTTTCGCTTCACATTCACCTTCTGCGTCATTTATGAAATGCCTCCCACCAAGGTTGGTTTTTAGTGTATGCTAAACCATATGAGAACCCTATTGCAGCTGCTACAAAGTCAACCATTACTTGCCTGTCACCTTTAATCATTTTCTCCACCCTGTGCATGGATGCGTCTGTTGCATTCTGAACAGGACGACCAGATCGGACTTTATCAACAATCATAGAGCGTCTTTGAAAAATCCTTTACCCAGCTATGCACCACTTTATGGGATGAACATTTTTCAGTTTAGACAGGAAGCATTTCCTTATGAATGTCCTTTGCAGGCAGCCCTTTTGCCCCCCCCCCCCCCCCCCCCCCCCCCAAATGCACAGCACATTGTTCTTTTAGGGTATACTCCGTAAGTACAGTCGCCATTTTGTTTCTTTGTTGCACATGCAACACCTAGGGTCACCTAACGAACCAGAGACATAAAGTTGCAGTCACCTAATGACAGCTTTAGAAACCACTAACTACATTTTACTGCCATCCCATAACCATTTGTGACTTACTTACTTCCCCTTATATTTGTGGTTCTATCTTCTGTCCACTTTCGCTGTTTTTCCTTTCAATGTTAATCTAGAAAGAGTTTCCTAAATAAAGTTTTTTTTTAAAATATGTGCACTTAGTTGCTTCTGTTATTTCACTCTTTGCTTTCTATTGTTGCACTCTTTCCACTGTTTGGATATCAGTTGCGGAAGTCAAAATCCTTGGTAAGAGAAAATCATAAACAAACACTGGTTATAGCTGTGAAAAAGATGTCCTCAATCCCCTGAATAGAACAGACTGGCTGTTCCTATTGCTGACATTGTCCTCACTGGCTTCCTATGTCATTCATTGTGATCTAGTCTCTGTTAGATCAAATATGCTTTACATCTTTCATCTCCTGCTCTCAATATCCAGTAGCATAATGTTAATTGTGTGGTATATGTTAACGATCTCTTGACCATGAATACTGTATAGTATTGTTGGTGGCTCATAAGCTTGGTTTGTCTTCCTTTGTTACGGGTTGTAAAACATTCTCTATTTTTCAGTTATTTTCTGACACTCAAGATAGGCAAGCAAGGAGCACTTGTCTATAAGGTTGATGACTATGGCGCATGTCTTTTATAAACTGTTTTGTTTATGACATATATATTTGAGAAACAGAGTTCTGAGTAAAACTTATGTATTTGACAAACTGTCATCTCAGTATGGAAGGAGACATTCTTTGGTCATGTCATGAGAAAGATAAAACCGGAGTAGATCGTGGCGATAGGAAGGTTGGAGGGAAGATGAGAGAAGATGCAGGACAGTCTGATAATATTGGCATGGAAGATCATCTGTGTCAGAACTGATTGAAATTACATGAGACAGAGAGGTGTGGGTAGACATGACTACTATTGCCACATGATATTGACTATAAAAAAAATCTGAGTATGACTTTAAGTATTTGAGAAACTGTTCGGAGTATAACTTATATATTTGACAAACTGTTCTGAGTGGTACCTATGTATATGAAAAACTGTTCTGAGTATGACTTATATATTTGAGAAATTGTGCGCTGAGTAAGAATTGTGAATTTGAGAAATTGTGCGCTGAGTAAGAATTGTGAATTTGAGAAACTGTGATGAGCAAGACTTGTTTATTTAAGAAGTGAATTGTGAAGAAAACAACAACTTTTAGTGTAGTATTGAATCTAATAACTGGCTTTAGATTGGTGCTGTGTTGCAGTATAATTTCAGGGTCAACTATTGTTTTAAAATGAATAACTTTTGATTTACAAAATGCAGTGCATGTTTATAAAATTTGTCTGCATCTGACTTGGTTGTCTGCCTTGTGGTTGTGGGCAGAATTTATCAAGTCTGTGAATATTATAATCTTCAGATCTTGACAAAACATTGTGTGGGAAGTATTTATTTGCTTGACATATTTGTTCTCATTACTATATGCTTTTATTGTTTCAGATTTGTGTTTCTTTCTTTCATGCACACCCAGTCCCTTTGGTTTTTTTTAAAGTAATATTTTGGTCCTTTTTTAGTGTATATGTTTTCTGGCAGTTTGTGCTTTATTTGGCCCATATAAACTAACAGTAAACACATTAAGTTGTTACTTCCTTTCTGGAGAAAGGCAGGCAACATCACAGACATAACATACAGTAACTGTTGAATTATGGTCAAATAGTTCCGGCTGAAGACTTATTATTATCACTTATTTTAGTGTAGTGCGGCTTTTGTGGTCCCAGGTGTGAGGGGAGGCTAAGGTCGTTGTGTGATGTTGAAAAGGATACCCTTTATCTGTTCTCAGCCTTAGGGACAATACTGTTTATAGAGAACCTCAGCCTAGACTGCTTCCACACCCCTTAACATCCACCATGGATAACTGGCTGTAATAAGTCTAATTTGAACTGGCAGGGGATCACAGAGTTGCAGGCCTCTTAGGTTTCTGGCACCAATCAGGCCACCTCAGAATCATCAGTAAATGAGGTCCATATAACAATGTGTATTTTATTTTCATGGAGGGCAGTTCCTGCTAGGTGGGATGTTGGTTCAAATGTTTCTTGAAACAAGAATCAAGCTCAATGACAGATAGGTTCAAATCTTAATATATTTTTTTTCACTTCCTTTTTTACTGCTTCAGGTATATCAGTTTCTGCTTGTTGCTTGTCTGGCCATAGACACGTGCTGTTGTAGAGTTTCTCTGATGTTATCTTTCCATCTTGTTCTTGGTCCACCTTGTGCTCTACGTTAATCAGTTGCCTGTTATTTGGTGGTCCTGCCTGTCTCTGTTCTACTACATTGAATGCTCTGCAGCATTGTAAATAGTGTCTTAGTGGCCACACATATAATTTTGCTGGACAGGTAAGTCTGTTAGGCTGGAAACAGGTGTTGAGAAATTGAACTGCTTATTGTGCGGAAGTCATCAGTATATGGAGGAGGCTAAGCAGTCATGCATAGAACATGATTCCTTGGTTGGGCCCCATACTACAGCCAGTATGTGTTGGCTCTGTATTGATGGAAATCTTGGATGGTGGGGAAAGCCGGTGTTCACACTCTCCTTTCCTTGAAGTCCAAACGTGTGGCTGTTCTAGATAGGCCTACTGTGAGCCCCCTGCTGTACAAGAAGACATCACAACAGTGTGGCTGTGCAGTGTCCGACAAAACTAACCAGGAACGCTAAATCGATCAACAAATGCCTGAAGAAATCAGATTTGTTGAAAGGTGCTAATATCACACCTCTGATATAAACAGGACAATGCAGTTATATCGACAATATCACAATACTGAACACACAAAGAAGGCCGATGTATTTCAGCATGTGGGCTGGCCATAAAACTTTTTGATCATTTAATTCCCAAGGTGCCACGCTCTGATTCCCCATTATATTATAATTATAATCTATGTCAGCCAGCCTTTCACATGTTTTCCTTAGTCT